AATCAAGTAGAAGGAAGGAAATAGTAAAAATCAGAGCAGAAATAAATGACATAGAAACCAAGAAAAAAATTCAAAGGAACAATGAAACAAAGAGCTGGTTTTTTAAAAAGATAAACAAGATCAATGGACCCTAGCTAGACTCTCCAAGAAACAAAGAGAGAGAACCCAAATCACAAAATTAGAAATGAAAGAGGAGAAGTAACAACGAACACCACAGAAATACAAAAGATCGTTAACAAATACTATGAACAATTATATGGCAACAAATTCAACAATGTAAGCAAAATGGACAAATTTCTAGAAACACACACTCTCCCAAAACTGGACCGGGAAGAGACAGAAAACTTGAACAGACCAATAACAACTAAGGAAATTGAAGAGGTAATCAAGACTCTCCCAGCAAACAAAAGCCCAACCCCGTATGGCTTCAAGGGGGAGTTTTACCAAACATTCAAAGAAGAACTAACATCTATTCTCCTCAAACTATTTCAAAAAATTCAAGAAGAAGGAAGACTTTCAAACTCGTTTTTATGAGGCCAGCATAATTCTAATTTGGAAACCAAAAAAAGACACTACAAAGAGAAAACTACACACAAATATCCCTGATGAACATAGATGCCAAAACCCTGAACAAAATACTAGCAAATCGAATCTAGCAATACATCAAAAAAAATTATTCACCATGACCAAGTGAGATTCATCCCAGGGATGCAAGGCTGGTACAATATTTGCAAATTAATAAATGTGATACACCACATAAACAAAATGAAGACTAAAAACCACATGATCATATCAATAGATGTTGAAAAAGGATTCAACAAAATCCAGCATCCATTTCTGATAAAAACACTCAGCAGTGTGGGAATAGAGGGATCATATCTAGACACAATAAAGGCCATATATGAAAGACCTACAGCCAACATCATACTCAATGGGCAAAAACTAAAAGCATTTCCCTTAAGAACAGGAACAAGACAGGGATGCCCACTTTCGCCACTCCTATTTAACATAGTACTGGAAGTCTTAGCCACAGCAATCAGACAGGAAATAAAAATAAAATGGTTCCAAATTGGAAAGGAGGAAATGAAATTGTCATTATTTGCAGATGACATGATATTATACATAGAAAAATCTAAGGACTCCACCAAAAATCTACTAGACTTAATAAATGGATTTGACAAAGTAGCAGGACACAAAATTAACGTCAAGAAATCGATGGCATTCTTATACACCAATGATGAACTCACAGAAAGAGAAACTAAAAAGACAACCCATTTACCATTGCTGCAAAAAAATTAAGATACCTAGGAATAAACTTAACCAAAAAAGAAAAGGACATATTTGCAGAAAACTACAGGACATTGAAAAAAGAAATAGAGGAAGACATAAAAAAGTGGAATCACATACCTTGTTCATGGACTGGAAGAATTAACATCATTAAAATGTCCATATTACCCAAAGCAATCTATAGATTCAATGCAATCCCCATCAAAATACCAATGACATATTTCACAAAACTAGAACAAATACTTCAAAAGTAGGGAACCAAAAAAGACCCTGAATAGCCACAGCAACCTTGAAAAAGAAGGACAAAGTAGGTGGGATCACAATACCAGTAATCAGGTTATACTACAAAGCTACTGTAATCAAAACAGCCTGGTACTGGCATAAGAACAGGCATATAGACCAGTGGAACAGAACTGAGAACCCAGAAATGGACCCAAGACATTATGTTATGCTCAATTAATATTTGATAAAGGAGGCAAGAGCATACAATGGAGTAATGACAGCCTCTTTAATAAATGGTGTTGGGAAAATTGGACAGCTACATGGAAAAAAATGAAACTAGACCATCAACTTACACCATACACAAGAATAAACTCAAAATGGATAAAAGACTTAAATGTGACCCATGAATCCATAAAAATCCTAGAAGAAAATGTAGGCAACAAAATTTCAGACATCATACACAGCAGAATTTTCTCTGATACATCACCTAAGGCAACAGATACAAAGGAAAAAATGAACACATGGGACTACATCAAACTCAAAAGAAACAACCATGAAAATGGAAAGGCAACCCACTGTATGGGAGAGCATAATTGCCAATGATACATCAGATAAGGGGTTAATTTCCAAAATATATAGAGTACTCATACAACTCAATAAAAGGAAGACAAAGAACCCAATTAAAAAATGAGCAGAGGACCTAAAGAGACACCTCACCAAACAGGACATACAAATGGCCAAGAGATATATGAAGAAATGCTCATCATCACTAATCATCAGAGAGATGCAAATTAAAACAACAATGAGGTATCACCTCACACCTGTCAGAATGGCCGCCATCAACAAATCATCAAACAACAAGTGTTGGTGAGGGTGTGAAGAAAAGGGGACTCTAGTACACTGCTGGTGGGAATGCAGACTGGTGCAGCCCCTCTGGAAAACAATATGGTGTTACCTCAAAAAATTAAAAATTGAACTTCCATTTGACCCAGTGATCCCAGTTCTAGGAATATACCCTAAGAAGCCTGAAACACCAATGAGAAAGAATATATGTATCCCCATGTTTGTAGCAGCACTATTTACAATCACTAAGATCTGGAAACAGCCCAAATGTCCATCAGTAGACGAATGGATAAAAAAGCTGTGGTGCATATACACACTGGAGTACTATGGAGCTGTAAGAAAGAAAGATCTCTTATCCTTTGAGATGACATGGAGGGACCTGGAAAGTGTCATCCTAAGCGAAACAAACCAAACAGAGAAAGACAAGTATCATATGATCTCACTTATTTGTGGAATATAATGACCATAACAGTCTGAGAAATGGGGTAGTCCCAGAAACATGGAAGTGGGGTATAGATTAACAAGCCCCAAAAGAAGGGGTGGTGAGGGAGAGATAAACCACAGAACTTATATGCATGTATGCATGAACAATGAACATGGACAACAAAGCTGGGGACGAGGCAGGGAGGGAAGTATCAGTGGGGGAAAATGAGAAATATCTGTAACAAAAATAAATTAATTAATTAAATTAAAAGAATAAATAAAAAATAAGAATAATAATTATATACCAGAGTCAAGTGGTTAATCCCAGAATATATGGATGATTTCATGGCAGAAAAATGAATCAACATAATTTATCACATTGATAAGGAAAAAAGAAAAACACCTCAAAACAATCATCTTATTAGATGTGGGAAAATAACATAAGAGAAAAATTAATATCTCTTCATGATAAAAATTCCTAACAAACTAGGAATAGGAAGATATATTGTTAACTTGATAAAGGCTACTATAAAAACTCTGCAGTAAAGATAAAATTTAATATTGAAACTTCAGAATAATTTGGATTAAAATCAGAAACGTTTTGAAGATGCCTGCTATTACCCATATTATTCAATACTGTTCTGGAAAGCTCAACCAACGCATTAAAACAAATAATGACCAAAAGGTAGAGGAGTGAGAGGAAAATTAAGAAAAGAAAAAACAACCCGCCCAGCTGGTGTGGCTCAGTGATGGAGTGTAAACCCATGCACCAAGAGGTTGCCAGTTCGATTCCCAGTTATGTGCCAGGTTATGGGCCAGATCCCCAGTGGAGGGCATGCAGGAGGCAGCCAATCAATGTTCTCTCTCATTGATGTTTCTATCTCTCTCTCCTTCTCTCTTCCTCTCTTTCTAAAAATAAATAGAAAAATTAAAAAAAAAAAAGAAAAACAACCCAAAATTGTCATTTGCAAAAAGTACAATTGTACAGAAAACATCCAAGAAAATGTATAAGAATTATGGACAATTAGAGGTTTCTTTACTGGATATAAGGACAACAAACAACCAATTAAGAAAACATTAATTTTTAAAAAGTTATTATTTATGATGACAGCAAAAATTATGGTGAGCCTACGAATACACCTAAGAAAAGATATGCAGATATGTATGGTAAGCATCACAGATGTTATTTGAAGACAGAAAAGAAGACCTACAGAAAAACTGGATAAGAGTCGAAATCCTAAAGAGGTCACCTGTTCTCATAGAGGACTAAGCACACTTTCTGATCAATAAATCTCATAGAACAGGACAAAGTGATCCCAAAGTTTTTACAAAAGAATAAACAGTTGTCCTGGCTGATTTGCGCAGTGGTTAGAGCACTGGCACTAGGATCAAAAGGTCTCAGATTCAATTCTCAGTCAAGGACAGGTACCTGGGATGCAGCTTCATCCGCTGCCCCAGCAGGTGTGTGTGCAGGGGGCAACCAATTGATGTGTCTCTCTCATATCAGTGCTTCTCCCTTTCACCTTATCTAAGAAAATCAATGAAAAAATAGCATCGGTCAGGGTTAACAAAAAAAAAAAAGAATAAACAGTCAAGAACAGACACAGCTGAAAGCAAATACTAAGGTGGAGAGATCTGTCCTGTTTGTACAGCTATGACAATTAGGACAGTTTGAAACTGACACAAAGACAGATAGGAAAAGAGGAACTGAACTGAGATTCCCAAACTGGTCTCACACGTGTAGGACCTGGCAGGTGACAGAGGTGTAACCACAAGGACGAACTCTCAGTAGCTTCTGTGATGACAGTAGGTAAGGTAGTCCATTCGGGTATGTGTGAGTTTGTGGAAATCTTCACTTCTACTTTCTTACAGTTAAGTTATAAATGGAATACAGAGCTAAACAAAATTAATAAAATAAATCTTTTAAAAGAAAATATCTTAAATAACTTATTTTAAAAAGTACAAATCTTAAGAAAATCGTTAATAAACTCGGACATATTAAAAATTTTAAAGTCTGGACAACTGAAGAAATCAAAAACAAAGAAGACAAACCACAGACTGAGAAAAGCTATGTGCAACACATGTAATCAAACAATTCAGAACATCTAAAGAATCTTAGAAACCTATAAAAAAAAAAGTGCCAAAGAACCCAACAGAAAAAATGGGCAAAGAGCGGCCGTCAGCTATATTTAAACATTCCTGTTTCCAAGGTCTCTGAGGCCCACCTGCGGCAAGGACGGGTCCCCATGGGCTTGCAGCTTCAACTTCATCAGGGCCACCTTGGCCGCCGTGGCACTACTCTGGGCACCTTTCCGTCGCTTTCTCGCTGTCTGTCCCGTCTTGGAACCTAAGAAGTAAGAATAGCGCACAAGCACACAAGAATGTTTACATTCCATTGTCGAGAGCTTTATGAATTACTACTTGTTTACCATGGCCCGGAAACGGGCAAACTCCACAAGTGGACGCATCCAGAGGCACATCCACTGTGCAGGACTACGTTTACATTCTCAATGGAAAAGGGCCCTGCGGTTGATCTAAGCAATCTCCACATCAAAAACTCAGTTATCTGCTTCTTTCCAAATGAAGCCTGTTTAATCCAATCACTGCGGCTTCCAGGGAGAGCTTGAAGGGCGCAGAGGCTCTGATGGGGCGCCTGGAGCCCGAAGGAGCGCGCTGCAGCCCCGCCAGCCCCGCGGCCCAGCCGCAGGAAGGCCAGGGACCCAGGCGGCCCAGCCAGACATCGGGTAGGGGCTCCCACAGTTTCCAGAGTCTCTCTGGTTGGGGAGCCTTGTGAGAAACACGTGTCAAGAATGTCGTCGAAATCTAGGGCAAGGTGGTGTCACGGGGCTGCGAGCACGCCTCCGCGCTGGAAGGCTGGAGGCGGCGGGCTGAGCAGGGGCCTGGGGACCGCGGGAGCGCACAGCGGAGGAAAGCAGGGAACCAGCTCCCGATACTCGCCAATGATGTCCTGAACAAGCTTCCGAGTGGCGGCCATTCGAGGCTGAGCGGTCTCCAGTTTTTCACACCGGTGCTCTGACTGATGACGGTGTCTGTGGGCGACAGAAGAGGGTCGCCAGCTGGAGCCCCTGCACACAGTGAGCGGGCACACGGGGACGCTCGCGCTCACCGCAGGCAGAAGCTCCGCTGGCAGGCAGGGCAGACGACCTGCACCGGCGCTTTCTCGGCGCAGCCCTCCAACGAGCATGCGCACGAGGCTTGTGTCTCTGGCTGCAGCCTCTCTTTGACTACAGTCACCTGAAGAGGTATATAAAAAAGGGGCATATTTCACACGGACAGTAAATCAACACATCTATTTTGGAAGGCAGCATTCATATTATTTTTGCTTAAACTTATAAGAGCAATTTTAGACACTCCCACAAAAGAAATAATAAATATTTGTGTGAGAAATGATTATGTATTGACTATTCTACATTTTCATACTTTCCCCACTGTGGTATATTTATCTTCTAAGTCAAGTTAAAATGACTATTCAGTTACCCTTTATAACTTTAGTCTTCTACTTCCATAACAGTCCAACAGAGATGCCCTGTGATGACAAGCTCAGGGAATCATCTCGTCATTGGCCCTCAAATGGCAAGTCATACCTACTTTCTACACAAATTTTAAGTTGTTAAATATATATAAATGAACACTTAAAAATTATATGCTTATCTATGAGACAGAGGATTAAAGACAACTTTCATATGATATACTGATCTTTACGGTGTGTTTAATGTTGTATTAACAGTAAATATTACATCAGAGGAAGATGACATTTTATAAGATTAAAAACAATCCAGATCAGCCAGGCTGTTTTGGTACAGGTGTCCCCACTATTCGAAAGCAGTTGAGCGTTCCTATGAAACTTTTTGTAAGCCGAAATAGTGCAAAGTGAAGAAGCAATGGCCAGTAATGTACATAAAAAGTTTTCAGTGTTCTCAGACCCCAGATGGGTCTCCCGGAGGCTCAGACACAGTTCGAAGCTGTGGTGCCCTGTTGCTGAGATGCTGAGTGTGGTTCTTGGGGAGGAGCAGGGGAGGGCTACTCTCACAGCTTAGGTGCACACCGTCTGTATAGTGAATGGCTCACTGCAAAACAAATGGTAAACACTATTTTCACTTTTTGTCTTTTTTCGTAAAAGTGAAAACCTGCTTTGATTTCTTTCAGTTAGCACAAGAGATACTACCGTGGGCCTTTCACAAAAGTGAAGGGGCTTAAAGTGAACTTCCAAACCTGGGTGGACCTGCATGAGGTAACTAGTTTCCAGAGTTGAATGACTTAGGGAAATACCTGCTTGAAATCTACAAAGGACAGTCCTCTCTATAAAGGATAGTTCATCTTGTTGAAACTAACTTAACTATGTTCCAAACTGTTCCCACAGTGTCGAGGTAAAGGATTTCTCTCCACTATTTAACTGAGAGACGTTCAGAGAAAAAGGAAAGCCCGGGCCAGTTTACAACTGTACAGGACACACCGATGGCCCTGGCCGGTGTGGCTCACAGTAGAGCATCAGCCCACAGACCAATGAGTCACGGGTTTGATTCCAGTCAAGGGCATGTACCTCGGTTGTGGTTCATCCCTGGCCCTGGTTGGGGTCATGCAGGAGGCAACTAGTCGTGTTTCTCTCACATTGATGTTTCTCTCTGTCTCTCGGTCTCTCTCCCTCCCTCCTTCCTACTCTATCTGATGATAAATGGAAAAATATCCTCAGGTGGGGAATAAAAAAAACTGAGCATTCCCTCCAGTTAATCCTGGGTAATGCCAATACATTGTTAATTTTCAATTTCCTCAGATAAAGCATCTAAACTTCATGGAGCCAGATCTGACGGAAGCCCATCACACCTTAGTTTTCTGTAACTGAGAGAACAGTTGTCACATCCTTGGTAAGGTGCTTGGTAGATGGTGGCAGGAACAGATGTCCACTGGAAAGTGTGAGGCAAATGCTGCCCTCCAAACGGACTGGATTCAGCTTAACTTCTGGCCTCTCTCTGACCCAAGGGAAGCAGGGCCACTTCTCTGTCAGATTTGAGAGAACCACTGGAGGTGTGGTAGGCTTAAGCTTTCTCTTTTTTTCCTCTTGGAACTAAACTTGGAAGTTGAGGAGGAGGCCTAACCTGGCCCAGCACTGCTGCGACTGCAGGCAAGCTGCCTAATCCTGGCTCTCTTCACACACCTACTGGGCCCTGCTCTGTTCACGTTATCCTTTGCCGTTCACGTTATCTTTTATCAATAATGAAGAGGATATGTTGGCTTCTATCTGCCAGCCCTTTGTAAAATCTCTCCATTTGCTCAGAGTTGGAATGGGGCTTTGCTGGCTCATAGATTTGTTCCTGGTAGTCCAAGGCTGACTGATTCAAAACAACTCATTGCCATGAATCCCTGACACCAAGCAGCAGTGAAAATGAGCACAAGAGGGGAGGGAACGAAGGAGCATGTGATGAAGGTGTTAATTCAATTTTAGATCCGTGAATACAGAGCCTAAAGCTGCAAGTGGGCCACGTAAACAGAGCTGAAGTGTAAAGAAATAAGAATTATGAGAATAAAAATATTTAAATACCTCTAGACCAGTTTTTCTTTAAAACAAACTGAGAAAAATCATATAAATGAAGCAGAGCCTCTACCTGTAATTAGCTTATTCACCCCAATTTTAACCTGCTGTACATGGACTGGTTTGAAACCTCTCCAAGATCGGAAGACAAGCCCATAAACACAAATGTGTGTGATCAGAGAGAACTATGAACATACCTCAGGACAGCCGTGCGACTCTCTGCGTCTGTGCTCAAGGCTTAAATAATTTTAAAAAATAGTATTTATTGAAATGCAATCAAATCATGTAAAGATAATATAAAATTTGAGATATTTCAATGGTTAGTATCCTTAAGATTAATTACACTTATGCTACATTAAGAACCCTATGTATAAGGATAAACTGAAACGCCAGATCAACATAGACCATCTATTGCCCCAAAAGGTTTAAAACACAACTGTTCAGCCCTGGCCAGTTTGGCTCAGCGGTTAGAGCATGGGCCTGTGGTCCAGAGAGACCAGGGTTCAGTTCCCGCTAAGGGCATGTACCTCAGTTGCAGTTTATCCCCAGCTCCGGTTGGGGTCGGGCGGGTGGCAACCACTCAATGTGTCCCTTTCACATCGATGTTTCTCTCTCTCTCTCTCCCTCCCACTCTACCTGAAGAAAAATGGAAAAATGTCCTCGGGTGAGGATAAAAAAAACACAAAAAACACACACACACAGCTGTTCAACTTCCTATGAGTAACATCAATTCACCATTCTAAATTACCTTTACTCTGAGTGCTTTCATGTTTGTGAAAACACAAAAAAATCTTTTGGTTCCTGTCATTTCTCCAAAACCACCAATAATAGACCAAAGGCGTGTTCTAGTCCTGATTTTAAAATATGCATTACTTTACTTCTAATGAATCTTTCTGAATAATCTTCTGAAAATAATTTGCTCTTTCAGTGCTCTGGTTAATAAATTACATTCTTTCCCTGGCCAGTGTGGCTCAGTTGGTTGGGCATCTTCCCATGCACTGAAAGGTCACTGGTTCGATTCGGGGCAGGGCACATGCCCAGGTTTCAGGTTCCATCCCCGGTAGGAGGTGTGCAGGAGGCAGCTGATCAATGCTTCATTCTCACATAGATGTCTCTCTCTCTCTATCTCCCTCCCTCTCGCTCTAAAACTCAATAAGATATTTTTTAAAATAATAAATAATTAATTAAATGCCTGATACGTGTAAGCGTAATTACAAAGATAATACATTTTCCAAAGTCCTTGTTTAGTTCCAGGTTTTACTTTGTATGTTAACAGTACATGCAAAGGACATGTGATATCCAATTTAAGAAATATATCAGTTGGGCTACTTTCATTTTATTAATTAAAATAAAGAGTAATAATCATTAACTGGATTTTCCCATATTCTTTAGAATGTGGACATGTTCTCTCCTTGTGATTAAAAGACACAAATACAACTTTTACATAAAAGAGCACACAGATAATGCCATCTATGAAGTTTAAAGATTAGCCAAATATACGCACAAGTAATCACAGCCTATGACTAGTCTGTTTTTTTCTAAGTGATTACCATAATGAGTATCAAATATCAATGGCTAAAGTAAGAGCTATTTTAAATTATTCTGCTATCCAGAAATAAATCTCATATTACAAACAGTAAAATTACTCAAAATCCTGCATAAAAACATAACTTACCAAAATATTCCTGAACAACCATCACATACAAATGGAAGAAAATCTAGAATTGAGGGAAAATGTTATATGTACTGGTCAGTATCTGATTTTGATTTAGTTTTCTTAAGCAAAAAGAATCTGCAAGTACTGAGCCACCTCCACAGGGAATTATCCTTTAGACACAACCAAGTGTAGCAAGTAGTGGTTAAACAAAGACCATCACAACCTCAAGTCCTCTGGGAGAAAGTTACTAGATACTAGATCAATGTTACTTGTAGTAGCATGCTAAATCCGGAAAAAAAAGTTCTGGGTTTTTCTGGTTTGTTTCCCAGATTTAGTAGGTGTTGTTTTTGAGGACTGCATAGTGCAAAAACCCTGCATTTTGAGTGAAAAACCTAGGTTTCAATTCTGATTCCACTGTTTACTAATTTAGCAATACTAGGCAAGTTACTTAATAGTAAAGCTTCAGAGATTTTATATATAAATATATCTTATAGTATAGCGTATTATATATGTAAACACACACACACATATACATATATACACACACACATACACAAAAGCAAAGCTCTATTATTAGGTAATATAGAAATAAATACAAATGTAAGTATATAGTGTCTGTGTATATGTTTGTGTGTATATATCTGTGCTCTACTTCACAGGTAATTATAAAAACAAATGATATAAGTAAAAGGTATGAATAGTAGGAAAGTAACTATAATTCCTAAGATAATTACAACAATTAACTTATCTTGAATATATTCAATCCGAGAAAAATCCCATGGTGACTAGATGGAAATGTTTTTAAAGAAATTCTAGAAATTCAATAGATAGACTGATCGATACTGCAAAATTTAACCCTCAACTGTCTTTTTCCTTGCTATTTAGGAATAGCTAAGTTAGAATTAACCAACTAACTACATAACAACTAAGTTAGGAACAGAACTTTTGGAAAGCACATGGAGGTATCCACTCCCAATGGCAACTGACTATTAACCACCAGAAATAATCAGTTAGTCTCTAGATTGTTTTCAATGTACATCATATTACATTCTAGTTCATAGCCAATCACACCACTTTTACAAAGTGAGAACAAAAGACATCGAACTTTAGAGAAAGCTACAATTTAGGCTCAAATATCTCATCAGACAGGTTATCTCAACCAGTAACAGAAAGAAAGGACCTTATTATAACTGAAAGGGACCCTGGGTAAGTCTGCTTGTGGGACAAGAGGGCCCAAATACAGTTATTCCTTCACCTGCGAACTGGGCTTAATGAACTGTCACTGTTGTTCTGACTACATGATTCTGGGAGCATGTTTCATACCAAGAAAGTGTGTATACATTTGTCAACAAGATGGAAACTGAAGCATATACTCTGCAAAACTCTGATGTCTCTCCCAAACTGGAAAAACTGTACCTGCTTGCTGTTTTGAGACCTGTAGCAACCATGTAAATATGAGATGCAAACCAAGAATACTCAGGGGGAAGAGTGACAATCAAGATAATTTCCTGACACCCCACACCATCCTTCTATCCATCCTCTGTCCATCCACTAGTACAAGGGCTAGACCTTGGCCTCATTTCAGATATAATGTATTACGGTGAATCAGGCACACCAGAGATATATAGCTTACAGTCAAAACCAACTGGCTAAGCTTCCCTACGAAAGATGCTCAAGGAAGCAAAGAGTCTTACCTGCTGAAGGGCTGGCAAGCACAGCCAGGGAAGGGTATATGCACAGAGTGCTCTAAGTAACAAGAGCCTGGCAGGAATGCTGTCCTGCCCACAGGCCACAGCAGTCACACTCATCAACTGTGGCACTCCCACTACTCCAGGCTGGACCTCAGAGTCCTTCTCGACAATGACTCAGGTACCTGCCACCAGTGGCTGAAACCGCAAAGGGAGATGAAAGCTATCTGCCACCCTCTTTCAGTGTGAGCCAAGTGTGACAGCGCACAGGGAGAGTGAAGCCCAGACGTCAGGGGCTGCGCCTGCTGCGTGCTGCGAAGTTTCAGGAACCTGCCTGTAGACGTGAAATCCAAAAGCCTGGGCCCCGCAGCCCCGCGCTGGGTATTCGATGGGCTCCGTGGATCACAGGCCTCCCAGCGCAGGGTCGGAGATCACATCATCATTGATGTGATGCACCTACCGGTCTGAAAGCCGCCCGAGAAACGACCGCGTTGTATAGCCTTACGTAGTCCCAGGCCAGACTAAGTGCTCGGCGGACGCTCGCTGACCGGCGGCAATCGGGAGGCGAGCGTGACCGCGCGGGAGGCAGCGCCCGGCGCCACGGCCTGCGGGCATTCCCTCCGAGATCCGGTGGCCTTCGCCCCAGAAGCTCGTCTCGGGGGGAGCCCGTGAAACCAGTTAAAACGCATCAGCCTGCCGCCTCCGGCTGGCAGTGAGCCGCGGCCCAGACAAGAGTCTGGGGGAGGCGGCGGACCCGAGGGGAGCTCCGGTTTCCCCCGCGCCACTTGCCGGAGAGCGCGCTCGAAAGCCCAGGTGCTCGCACGGGTGCTCCCAGGACCCGCCGGTTCCCTTACAGGGACCACGGGTGTCCCTCCCTCAGAGACGCGCCTGCGCAGCTCGCTGCCGCCCCGCAGGCAAGCCCGCCCAGGCCTCTCCTCCCCCGCCCCACCGTCCGTGCGGGCCGAGCGGGGCCGACTCCGCCATCACCTCGCTGCCGGCAGTGCTCCACCTGGCAGTGCTGCCCGAGGTCCAACTCCGCCATGTCCCAGCGCGGCAAGGACCAGGGCGGACCCGGGGGCGGGGCGGAACAAAGGGGTGGTGCGGGCCCGAGTGGCGGGTGGAAAGGAGAGACGCGGCGGGCCCGAGGGGCGGGGCGGAACAAAGGGGTGGTGCGGGCCCGAGTGGCGGGTGGAAAGGAGAGACGCGGCGGGCCCGAGGGGCGGGGCGGAACAAAAGGGTGGTGCGGGCCCGAGTGGCAGGTGGAAAGGAGAGACGCGGCGGGCCCGAGGGGCGGGGCGGAACAAAGGGGTGGTGCGGGACGGAGGGGCGGGGCGGAACAAAAGGGTGGTGCGGGCCCGAGGGGGCGGGGCGGAATGGAGGGGCGGGGCGGAATAAAAGGGTGGGTGGAATGGAGGGGCGGGGCGACGGCGCGCGCGGCGCCTGCTGGGAACGTGTGGACCCCAGGGGCGGAGCCTGCAGGCGGGGCGGGGGCGGGCCAGGGCTGGAGGGGCGGGGCTGCTGTGAGTGCAGGCAGTGCTGAGTGTTTCCGATTTGGCACCGAGTCAAACCAGACACGGTGTGTGTGCGGTGTTCCCATGAGGACCCGAGTCCTCACGCCCAGGCCTCGAGAAAACACGGCTGCCGCCCCAGAGGGTTGCGCGCTGCGACCGGACCGCGAAAGGCCTCGGGGATGGTCCGCTCCGAGCGGCGGCTTAGCTGGGCCAGCCCGGGGCCTGCGCAGGCTTTCCCGGAGTCCAGTGGAGGGAGGACGTGGCTCGTGCGAGTCCTACGCCAGTGTTACTTCAAGTAAATGCCTTTGTAAGGAAGACATTAGGCTTTTTTTTTTTAAATAAATAAAGGATCCTTTTTCTTTTTTTTGGTCTTTTTAAAAATTCTGGTGGTGAAAAGGGTGTAGCTCCCGGGTGCGCACTGAACCGCATAAGGTCCCTCATTAGAGAGCCCAGCTCATCACACCATCTGGAGCGAGCTGAGGGCCATCCCTGGGATCCAGGCGGTCACGTGCTCCGTGAGCTACATCACAGGTCCCCGGGGAGGAGGGGCTCCTCTGGGGGTACAGGTGGATGCCACGCCCCTGGCGGGACACCAGACGAATCGGAATGCAGAAGTGACAAATCAGAACTGTGCTCTTGAAAGGGACTGCAAAAGCAACCAGTGCCTCCTGTATGACTTTGGGCATGCCAATTCCCTGTGTGACCTTGGGTTGTCCCAAATCGGTATTCGTTGAGGAAGGCGGAAGGGTAGGCTTGGAAAACAGGTATCATTACCTAAGGGTTTGCTCTGGAGTAACTTTAAGAAATCCATCTCAGACTTGCTTGGATCTCTGGAGACACTTTAGATTTTAGAGCTGGAAGCAACCTAAAATATAATCCAGCTATCGCAGCTTCCTTGGCTTTTCTTTTTTAAGATGAGGGAAAGGTTCATGGGCGTTAATGATTTGTCCAAATTAGTGGAAGAATCGGGACTAAAATCCGACTATCAGAGACTTCTGGTATTCTTGAATCTAAGCATTTGTGGCTTACCTGGATTTTGTATGTTTATTTTAACTGATTGGGTCAATCAATCAATAGCAGGGTTTCTAGAATTTTACCGTTTTCTAGAATTTACTCAGTAAATTTGAATTTACTAGAATGTTCTAGATAGGTGGCAAATAAATATTTTATCAGTCCAGTCATAATGGAAACATTTTTATCTTTTCACTTTGCTGAGCCTGGGGGTGTGGGTATTACATAGCTAGAACAGCCAAGACTGCAGCTGCTAGTCTTCCACCTCTATGTATTCGCCTTTGCTGATTTCTCTTTGGGTGCTACTTAAACATGCCTTTTCCCCAATAATTTTTTCCTGGGTCCCTTTATTAATTTACATCCTCATACAAGGAAAATTCCCAGGGTTCTGTGGTAGGCAGTTATGTGGTAGATAGACATTGTCCTATGGCCTGGGGGACTGGCACCAGGCAAAGTGCTCGACCATTGTCTCCTTACTCAGCCTTGTCTCCCACCCTGAACGGCCTGCCTCTAGGCTATAGATTAACTCCCATCTTATCTATTCATATTCCAGAGGCTCCATGCATAACCCCCGCAGGGCCAAACCCTAAGGGACAAATTCCAGCTGCAACAGGCAGATATAAAAGACACAAGCCCCTACATTGAGCTCGGCTTCTAGGACTCGACCCCCGGAGTCTGTGAACCCGCCCGGAGTGCACCCAATAAAGCCTGATCCCTGTTTATTCGGCTGATTGGCGCTCCAGTCTCTTCTCTGTTTTATTCGGCGGCGCCCCCGATTCCTTACATCTGGTGCCGAAACCCGGGAGGAGGGTTTTGTGACCCGACCAGGCCTTTCTGGTCGGGACGAGAGTCCCCCTCCTCTCCTTGCGCCCCCACCCGTCTTCTGGATTCGGAATCTCCCAGCACTGACTTTGGAACCAGGCTCCAAAACCGTAAGTCGTTTCTCCAAAACCGTTTCTTTTTTTTCTGGGGTTTTGATCTGTCGTCCGTCCGGGGCTCGGGTCTCCCTTCCAAACCTTGGCCAAGTCGGGACGCCCCCGCCTCTCCGCCGGAGTTCCTGGAACTCCCGGTCTGAAGCTGCTTCTAGGGACGCCTGAGGCTTCTTCACGACCACCCTGTCCATCCAGGACAGACATCCGTCCGGGGACGGGCATTCAAAAGGGACGCCTTTCGGATGTCCGCTCTCCCGACACTCAAAGCCCCTCTAATCTGTTGCCATGGGCAATTCCGAATCCAGACTCAACCGTAAGACCCCCCTCGGGTGTCTCCTCGAAAATGTTTCCAAATTGGGATATTCTCAGAGTCTATACAAGGCACCGGAAAAGATTCTGAAGTCCCTTATATTCAGGCTTTCTTGGGTACACACCGCTCCCCCCCCAATAATCCCCTCAGTTCCTCTGTCGCTGCCCACACCTGGTCCCGCACACCCATGGGGCCACTGTCCTTGCCTCCCACTTCATCTCCCAGTCCGCCCCTGATATCAGAAAGAAGCTCAAGAAGGTTGAGGAGGGCCCCGAAACTCCCATCCAAGACCTGGTAAAAATGGCCTTTAAGGTTTTTAATGCCCGGGAGGAGACGGCTGAAGCAGCCCGCCAGGAGAGGCTCCAGCAGAAGGTAAGCCTCCAAACCCAGGCTCTGGTAGCTGCCCTACGGCCAGCAGGGGACCCGAAAAGACACCAGGCCCCAAAAGGGGGACCTCGCTCGCCTCCAGGCGCCTGTTTCAAATGCGGCAAGGAAGGCCACTGGGCCAAAGCCTGCCCACAGCCCAGGCCACCTACCAAGCCCTGCCCCCAATGCAAACCAATGGGACACTGGAAGTCGAACTGCCCGACCCTGGCTCAATCCTCAGCACCTCAATGCCGGGGAAATGAGACCCAGGATTTCCCAGCATTGGAGCTACTAGGGCTCATGGACGACTGAGGCGGCCCTGGTTCTGCGACTCCGGTCACCCTCGCCGAGCCCAGGGTCACGGTCCAGGTAGCGGGTAAGTCTATTTCCTTCTTAATAGACACGGGGGCTACCTACTCTGTCCTCCCCTCCCATTCGGGCCTCACTTTTCCTTCCCAGGTCTCGGTTATGGGAATTGATGGGCTCCCTACAACCCCCAAACGAACGGCCCTACTTAACTGCATCTTCTAAGGCTACCCGTTCTCCCATTCCTTTTTAGTAATGCCTGCCTGCCCAGTTCCACTCTTGGGGAGAGATATCTTATCTAAACTCCATACTGCCATCTCTTTCCTCCCCCAGCAGCCGCATCTAACAGCTTTATTCTCTGGCCCCACCCAGGCTACTGTCTCAGCTTCCGCGGTCCAGCTCTTACCGGCAGTCCACCCTGGGGTCTGGGACACAAACACCCCCTCGGTTGCCTCACATCACGCCCCCATCCTTATCAAATTAAAAAACCCATCATCTTACCCCAATCGCCCCCAATTTCCCATCTCTCAGGCTCACCAACTAGGACTCCACCCCATTATATCTAAACTCAGAAGCCAGGGCCTCCTCATTCCTACCAACTCCCCCTGTAATTCCCCCATTCTGCCTGTTAAGAAACCCTCGGGGCAGTACCGCCTTGTCCAAGACCTTCGCATAATTAATTCAGCGGTCATATCCATCTCCCCTGTAGTCCCAAACCCCTACACCCTCCTCTCTCATATTCCCCCCCATACTACTCATTTCTCGGTTCTTGACCTAAAGGATGCTTTCTTTACCATCCCGCTACATCCTGATTCCTATTTTCTTTTTGCTTTCACCTGGGAAGATCCGGTCTCCAATATTTCCCAACAGTTAACATGGACTGTCCTCCCTCAAGGATTCCGAGACAGTCTGCACCTCTTTGGTCAGGCTCTTGCTCAGGACTTAAGGGAATGTGATCTGTCCCATCCACTCTTCTCCAATATGTAGACGATCTTCTCATCTGCTCCCCCTCTGAAGGAGATAATATCTCAGCCACCACCGGTCTCCTCAATTTTCTTTACACCAAGGGTTACCGGGTGTCTGCACAGAAAGCCCAGATCGCGACTCCCTCGGTGACCTACCTAGGGCTCCTTGTCACTCCGACATACCGGGCAATCACCTCCGACAGGTTGCAGGCCCTTAGGGACTTACAACCCCCGACCTCGGCAATGGAAATTCAGTCCTTTCTTGGGCTTATGGGGTTCTTCAGGCACTGGATCCCCAATTTTGCCCTCCTAGCCAGACCACTCTACCAGGCAGCCAGAGACACCCCCAAGGGACCCCTGACCTCCCCTAAGGAGGTCCGCCGGGCTTTCCAGACCCTCCTTGAGGCTTTGTGTTCTGCTTCAGCTCTTGCTCTCCCCAATCCCCAACGACCTTTTCTCCTCTATACAGAAGAAAAACATCACTTAGCCATAGGGGTCCTGGTTCATCCACTTGGCCCCACCCTGGTCCCTGTTGCTTACCTCTCAAAGCAGCTGGACCCCACTGTTCATGGATGGCAGCCTTGCCTCCGGGCCCTCGCAGCAGCGGCAGAACTCACCAGGGAGGCACTGAAGATCAACCTACAACAGCCTCTCCAGGTTTTCTCCCCCCACC